ATACAAATATCGAAATAATAAAATAATACTAAGATAAAATAATAAACTAATAAAATAAAACTGTTCTATAACAGTACATTATCTGTAAATTCTTTTAGTATGTCTTTATAGATGGGATATTGTATACTGTCTAACTACATCACTAAAAACTTGTCACCTCATTTCAAATTTATTCACATTTTTATAAAACGTAGCTTTAAGTTGATGCAATTATCGATGTTCTTATTTTCATTTGTCTGTTCTTTTGTAATCGCATGTTTGTTACCAAGCTGGTTATGTGTTATATAGATTACAATTTGCACATTTTCTTTTATATGTTTTATTACATTTTTATCCTATTTGGAACTATAAAAGAGCCAGACTAAAGTTGGGCAACGAAGAAAAAAAACACTGATGATCTCAATCTTTTTTCCCTTAACTTTATATTGTAACTTATTCTTCTTATCTTCCTTCTAACTTTAATTAGCAACTAGTAATAATAACCTGAGCATGATTATCATCATGCATTAGGTTATTGTCTACGTATTTAATTTGCTATTTAATTTTAATCTATTCATGCTAATCCAAAATGAGGATAAACTATTCATACTAATTCAAACAGGTATTAAAATTATTTATTGTTATCAATTCGAATTCATAAAATTATATATATATAAAATACTATTATTTGTATAAAATAAGTGATTTATAAACATATATTTTTTTAATTTTATTTTATTTAAAAGACAAGTATATATATATATAGCATTTTATAAAGATTTATTTATTAACTTTATTTATTTAAATAAGAATTATCTGCCAATTAATTTTATTCTTTTTTATACATATTAATAAATATCAATAAATATTTAACCAATATTTATCTATATAGAAGTAAAATTAAATGAAAAATAATTTATATTTTACAATAAGCATAAAAACAAACAATATAAAATAGTAGATGCAAAAATATAAAGAAATTTCATTATATAAACAAAGGTACGTAACCAAAATTCCTTCAGAATTCAGTAGAACCTTTAACAGAAAAATATCTGTAACTGAACCCTTCTCCTCCCACCACATTATCAGTTACTTTTTCAACACAATTTATATAACAATTTTTCTTTAGTATTTGCAAGAATAAATGTAACTCTGAACTCTGTTAGACATATCTAACAGGTACAAATACTAATATTATTGCGAACTACTTATCAATAATATACTTACTTTTCTATTTAATGTTTTTGTACGTCAAGTTTATTCACAAAATACAAAAAAAATAAAAAATAAAAATAAAAGAAAAAAATATTGACACGTAAAAGTTGAAATCAAAAATAAAAAAAGATGTACGATTATCGGTAGTTGTTATTTTGTTTTGATCATTTATGATAGCCAATCAGGATTAAACCACTAACGGACGCGGCTTTAATTCCGGAGGTCGATCCACTACTTATATCTTGGACCATCTGCAAAACTCGCCACCAAAATCTGGTAAAAAACTTTTTGAGCCTTTTTTTTTTAAGTTAGGTTAGAATTTAGGATTAGAGTTTATAATAAAAGATTATTTTAGTAGGTTTTATATTTTAGATTGAGACCCCGCATCATCCGATTCCAAGCTTCATCCCGACAACTAATATGAAAAAAAAGAAATCCAATTTTTTTTTTTTTAACGTTTCTAAACACCAAATGTCATTTGTTTTGCTGTGTATCAAAACCAATTTATTTGAAAGGAAGTGTAATTTTAAAAAAGAATTTAAGTTCTATAAAAATTAAATGCTCAATTCAGGACAACTGTGATATCAAGATTTAAACCGTAAATATCCTCCGCTTCTCACCGGATAATGAGCACAATCTTTTATTTACATTTTAACAATCTTGTATAAAGTTAAAATTTTAATTTATTTAAATTGATTGTTAATATTAATAGAAGCGCGATTCACCATCTACTAAAATCGAAGTTATAACCGGTGGGCTTTGGTTTTTTTGGAATTGTATCTACAAAATGTTCTTCATTCGAATCATCTTCATTATCAAATTCTCGTTTTTTTGATATAGAGGACTTTAAATATTTTCCAACTATACAATTATCTTCTTTGCTTATACTAGATGATGATGCTAATTTGCTACCGAACCAATTAGTTGTTGAGTCCTAAAATAAAATATACATTAGCACAATATAAAAATAACCATAGCTATTATTTAAATAAGTAAAAACCTTTTCATTTTTTCGTGGTTTTTTATCTTGTGTTTCTGTTGATTGTCGATTCAATTTTTTTTCAAGATTGTTTCTGTAATCTTCGTATGGATCCACGAATACATTTATGCTAACAATCTTAATCTCATTTAACGGACGATCGGAATCATCAGTAGGGACAGATTCCATTTTATCTAGAACATCTTTTCCTCCAACTAGTTTCCCAAAAATTGTATGTTTGTTGTCCAAGTGTATACATGGCCTAAAAGTAAAAAAACTGAAAAATAATAATAATGCGTGAATCGGTTGACATTATTATATTAAATGCATGAACAATTTCAAAGAATGAAATGGAATATAATACTTACAACTGAGATGAATTAGTATTCTTTCCTCTATTTGCCATACTTAGAAGACCTCGTTCATTATGGGACAAATTGCTTTTGAATTCATCTACAAAATCTTTTTTCCAATATGACTCCCCCCCTTTACCAGTACCAGTAGGATCCCCGCCTTGGATCTAAAAATAAAAACGTTTTCATATATTATTATAATTTCAATTGTTTAAAACCTCATATACTTATATATATCTATCTACCATAAAGTTTTTGATCTTGCGATGAAATATTGTCCTATAATTTATTTTGGTGAAAATTCAATAAGCTTGCAAGATATTTTAAAAGTCATGATTTATGAATTGCTTATACAAACCCGTTATAATACTCTTGTTTGGAAAGCATGATGAAATTAAAGCAAGTCCTTGGTGACTGATTAAAAGTAATATTGTTAAAATCTTACAAAAAAAAAAAAATCACTAAACATTATTATTGTCGAAAAAAATACCTTATCGCAAAAAAGTTCTACGTTCAAATTACCGAGGTTAGTCGCTATACGAACATAACCTTTAGCTTTAATTTC